GCTTTAGAAAGTATGGATAAACGAAGACTCAATTAAATCCTAAGAAGCAAAAAATCAATTTTTTATATGGCTTTAGCAAAGATAGCGCTAAGCAGCGTCCGATACGTGGCGAGCTCCATTTTCAATTCCTTCATTTGAAATCTCGGAACTTCAGCAATTCAATAGCTTGCGGGCCCCTGCCCGCTCAGACCATTATAAATGAAAACTCCTTCCCGCAGATAGCGGCGTGAAACTAGAGATCTATATAACCGCTAAATAAAGAACGATAGGCACATAGCCGCCGGCATCATTTTTCAGATTAAAAAGACAGAGAAATATATTGAGAAATAATCCAATTAATTTTAGATATAATCTAATTTTTTTCAATTCCCTTAGTTTATAGACTTAATCAACAAATAAGAGATGATAATATTTTGTATAGATCATAATATAGCTCGCTTTTCTTTGTACCCATATTATTAGAATCTTTATCAGCACTAATTTTTAATAAAATGATAAAGAATTCCCCATCATATAATATAAGACTTGACTTCGAAAATATTAATTAGAAAATACTTGATCAGATTTTATGGTTAGTAGAATCTTTCGTATGCGCTGCACGAACCACTCCCTATTTTTAAATACCGATAAAAGAATAAAGGTATTATGCAGATATGCATAATATATAGATTTGCTTCTCATATCATATACTCGTTTTGCCAAATGCACGAAGATGTTTTATCCAGTGTTTCGGCCATGCGGAATCAAACTCCAGCTTCAGATCTGATTCAACACAGGAGTAATAATTTGAAAATCGTTGCCTTCTGCTCTCCAGCCCAGTGCTGACCTCCACCCGTGAAGTGTAGATCTCCATGAGGACTTAAATCCGTAATCAGCAAACCATGGAAGCAACTTGAATCTTGACCTGTGGAAATGCAATCCCGTTCATTTACCTTTAGCAGCCTGACCTAACTTACAAACACACTTTGCAGAATCTCGAAAGAAGGTCCGGCGGGTATTTTGTAACTTGCGATTGGAAAGTCAGGTCCTGAAGCTCTGGGTTCTCAGCTGTGGGGCTCTTGCATCTGTTTAGGTTCAAGGGCTGAAACAACCAAACAAAGCTGAGATTGGGTGTTGGAAAATACATTTGCTTTTATCGAAGCTTCGAGCATATCAATCCGGTCGTGTCGCTTCTGTTTAGCAGAGGAAAAGCTCACAAAGCTGACACTTAAATCCTAACTGCTAGATTGTCAATTTCCTATTGTAGTTCTGAGCTCGAATGTCCAGATCTGAGGACACTGTAGACAGGAAACATGTTAGATCGAAGTGAAACGGCGATGTCAACGCCTTCGGACTGCAAGAGGGATGAGTTTCCTTCAAACTTAGGCTGGAGATTCATGTGTTTGCGGTTCATGTTGCGGTCCGTTGAATCAAAAGGACAAAGTACAAACATGGGCTAGCGGCTTTGGCTTCCCATGCCCCGCCAGGCAAGATGCCTGGGACTCGGGCTCATGCCTGCACTTGGCCCTTTGTAAAGGCGGATGTTGCAACCGCAGCAAGCGTGGAAGGTCGAGGGTTGCTACTTCAAGGATCAGGGAACGGCGTAGGCTTTGCAAAGCTTTTACAAAGGTTTCAGGTTCAGGCGAAGATTTCTTGTAGGTGTCAGTCAGAAGTGCTATTCTAAAGGTCACCTGAAGGTATTCTTTGGCTTGCCACACACGACGTCCCCTGCGCCTGTAGTCAACCCATATTTTTCGTCTGCGAAAGTTCTTCGTGAAAGGAAACAAGCAGGACTGTACCGGCGTACCCGCTCGCGCTCCTCTTGCGTCCAATCTCGTGTTGAGCTCATGTATTGTTTATTTCGCTTAGCCCGCTCATGCGGACGGAAAGAAGTAGGATTCAGCGAATTAAGTGAACAGAACCCTTGGCAGCTAGGTTGCTTGAAACCCCGTGATTCCAAAAAAACGTATGTGTTTGTGAGCAGCCTACGTGTAACTTGCGACCAGGCTACGGTAGAAGAGGGCGGTGCGAATCTTTCCGGATAACCCTAAACACCGAAATTCTTCACCCGTGACAGCCATTGTCCGAATGCAAGCCGGCGATTCGCAGCTTATGCGACCGGTTACGAAATGCACCTCATTCTGACCACGATGCAGTATCCGGAAACCTCTAAACTGTGGAGCCTGCCCTGAGTTGCGGAGGGACGGAACGGTGACAGCACGAAAGAAGCGGTGCCAATGTAAGCACAGTTCATCGAGCTGATGCCTTCGCCAAGAATACGACATCCCAGCGGTGCTAAGCTTCTGGCCGATCCGTGTGAACCTAGATTGAGCATCATGCCGTCATTGACGGAATTGGGCAAAACTCTTCGGGCCTGAACTCTTGGGTCTTGAGACTTGAATTCCCTATTCGTGAAGGTGCCACTGCACTCCCTCAAGCCTGCGCAGCCTTCTTAAACACAGAAAGCATTAAGCGCAATACAGCCAAGTCCGAAGCGGAGCATGGCTTCGCTGCCGGGGAAGCAGTTCGTCGCTCAGAATATGGAGTTGGTTGAAGGTATATCATTGGCACACAGATCGGCGGATGTGGTGGAAACCCATCATTCTGTGCAACCGTACTGGCTGACTGGAACAGTTGTTAAACTGTCATCGCGCTGCATTAGCAACCTCACTCTTCAGCACCCTGCGACACCTGAGCAATCACGTGACATCCCGCATGTGGATCCTGTCATGGGGTGCGAGTCGCTCAGTGAAAGCCAAAGACATGGTCAGAACAACCAAAAAGAGCTCACATTCAGCCCCGTTCTCCGAAGCAGGCCAAGATGTGACTCTGCGATGCGAGCTGTGAGACGATGCATGCGTGCGAAAGGGCAGCGCCTATGCTTGCTTTCGGCTTTTGTGTGAAAGGAAACTTCGTCACAATATCCGGCACGGTTAGCGTGTGAAGAAGTATGCAGAAGCTCAGGCGCACTGTAGCCGAATCAAGCGAGATACCATGCTGATGAAGCGGTCCGGTTTGATTTCACCACGAAAACTACCATTGCAATCCCGCCGCTATTGTTTCTGGGTGTAACCCTCGTGCAACTCATGCCTAGGCAGAAGCAGTGCTTGAAACAGTTGTGATGGGAACTCTATGGCCCGAAGCGGATCTACACATCACGGCCAGGGTTGTTTGCATGACTCCTGGTTGGTTTTTCTGAAAGGAAAAACATTGTCAGCGGCTGAGCTGCAGTTTTATCATGCGCCCAAGCTTGATATCCATCTTCTTCATCTCCGAGTGCAATGCAACCTGGCAGTGTCAAGCACTTTGGATAGCCAACCCAAGAGTCACGCGTTGTAGCTGGGACTTTTCCATGCGAAGCTATTGAGTGCGTAGAACGTTGAATTTATTTTGCCACAGCGCAAACACCGCTCTTGTTTGGGTGGGTTGGGCTTTACCACGGTTTTTGCTGGACTTGAGCGTGGGTTGGGAAGGTGGGAGGGGGAACGATGCCAACTTTATGTTGCGTCATGTCAGACATGCAATCACAATTACTAGTACTCACGTCTGCAATTGTGTTGGGCCTAGGTGTTCTAGGTGCTAGACTCAGCTTCCGCGCCCAGACTGTATCATACTGTATCCGTACGCTTCACGCTCGACGGACTATGAGACGACTCCTGACTCAATGAAGCACAACCTCACCTTACACACACGCTGTTCGGATTCAGAGTTTGAGGGTTCAAAACCGAAGCTCCAAATCCTTAACCGGTGCCATGCTTCAGCCGAGGTCGCCTGGTCGATGGCGCGAGCCGGCCCTTTGCATCTCATGATGCCATCCTTGCGCAGGAGCCCAAACCCTCTTTTTTCAGGATTCTATGTGCGGAGTTTCGAGGGGTCATACTTTTACAGGAGCACTAGAGAAACAGGACTCGGGGTTTCCTTGTGACACAACCAAACGGCCTGCTTCGGGGCACAACGCACTGTTTTTGGAGGCCGGTCTTTCCAGGATCAAATCCCGAGGTCCATCCTTGTGTCCTTCTGTACTTGGTGTAAGTGCAGCCATCTATCGAGAGGCAGGCTGGAAGTCAGTCCAAAGAATTCACTGATAAACCCAAGCGTTTTGGTGTGCTAGGGGTCGCCCGATAAGGTCCTCTTTCTCACATTTGCATCAAAGGGTTCTGCTTCTCGGGTCATATATGGGTCGGAAGTAAGGCGCCTAAGTTTGTGTCCAAGGCCGGCATATATTGGATGGGCTTCAATTCCTTGCGGCCCAAGTCGCGACAAATTCTTCCAACGTGACTTGCCCATCACCATTGTCTAACCTCAGCTGGCGAGTCTTCAACTGCACCTCGACCGTCTTAGCCCAAATCGCCGACGGCGACTACGGTTTCTCATGTTTTTCATTCGGAAGTGATGTCTGGGGCGTGGCCAGTCAAGCGTTCAGACGCTCATCACTCCAGTGATGCTTGTTGTCACCTGCTCGGCACGACATCGTCCACAGGTTCATCCATCTTGCTTCACAGCGGTCTGTGGACAACATGGCCACTACAGCCTTCTTGGTGGGACATCTGCTTGGCAGGGAAACTTGGCTGACTAATGTGGGCTCGACCTTAGGCTTTCTCTATGAATGCACCACGAAGACAACAAAGATCAGCGACCGGGGCTATGGGAGGCCGTCTGAACAAATCCAAGCCGCAGGTCAAACAAGACGTGGCTTTCGTGAACCTTGGGCTCACGTACCGAACCAAGAATGCTCGTCCTTGACCCTTCGCGAAATTTGAACTTAGAGTTTGTGTTAAAGCACTCAACATGCATTGCTGTATCCACATTCTGCCTCTGCACCGATTTTTGCTGAGCTTGACTTGAAAAACAATTTGCTGACCCCTGCAAAGGTTGGCCGACATCACAGACCCTGCCCTTCGTTGGATACTTGGGGTGCATGTATAGGTTCCATGCCGCACGATTTGAAGGGTTTCTAGACTTTGAGACAGCAGCTGACCAGCACCAAACTAGGCTTACGAAAACCGTGGCTGCCAGGTTGCGTCCAAGTCCATGAGTTGGAAGTATGCCTTCACCTGACTTCTTGCAGGCATGATGCGTCATGTGGCTGCTTCTGATTCTTCTTATTGCATATGTGCGGTTTCAGGAGTAACTGAAGAGAGCCGCCGGTGTCGACGAGTAACTTGGTAGGCTGAGGTAGAAAGCATGCACTGTTTCATTTAGTTTGCGCTGCCTTTGGCTTCTCTCCTCATGCTAGACTTTGTGGCGGCGGGATGCCAGTGCTGCTATCTATTGAACAAAGGTGTCTTCTAGTGCAAAACAACGCGCTGAAAGCGTGCCGCGCTTTCTCGAGAGACAATGCTCTGCGCCCTGGACTGTGCTCCTCGTCGTCCTGCCTGGCCTAGTGTCCTTGTGGTTGCCAATTATGTGGGGAAGTCCTCCTTTACGTAGGATGGCTGTCACTTGGCCCGACCCTCCTTGCCATTCTCAAAGTCACAATAGCGCAGGAAGTCGGGGTGTAGGTTGGCGAAGTTTCTCTTGGCCAGGGGTCAAGCTTTAGAGCGCTGAGGCGCCACTAGGGTAAAGGCAAGGTAGCGGTGGATTTGAACGCCGACATGTTGCGATGCAGACATGGGAAGTTGAGCGAAGACATGTCTCGCTCTGTACGTTCGAGGGCATGATTGCAACTTGCTTGCAGTGTATCATCCTCGGCCGTGGCAGCTCAAGATTCAAGTCTTGAGTCTTGGGCTTGCAGTAACTTGTAGTATTTTGATAACTTTGTCTACTTTGGGGAGCCTGTCGCTTTCTGCTGCTGGTCACTCAGCACTGATGTGGGTTCCAACCCTTGACTTTGCTTGCTGGCACGTCGTGCCTTTGGATTCTCCAGGATCACAGCCAAGCGGTCTTCCGTGATCATACCTGGCAAAGCAGAAAAGAGGATCCAGTACAATGGGCGGTCTAGAACTCTCCAAATTGAAACATGCTGGAGACGAGGTTGTCCAGGGTTGGAGACGACGTAAAGTCAGCTAGCAAGTAACCGGAGGAATGCCAGGCATCGACATGAACTCAAAATGCAATCAGGGTCATTTCAGTCTCAATACGTGATCACCTGCTGGAAGCAAGGAGTTGTCACTCAAACCCGGCTACTATGTCTAGGAGCAACTTCCATTGCGAAAGCGAATCAAGCGTAACAACATAAGATACAAACGACATTGAATTCAGGTTTCGCTCACAGCTTGAAACATACCGGAGTAGGAAAGCAGCAGGGCGCTTCGCAGCAGTGCCAGCGACCCCATGTGAATAGTGGCAAGGATTTGGTCGGCGTTGAGAAGCTTTTCTGGTACGACCATGGCTATGTTGAACACCTACCACAAAGACGACGACTGCTGCTGCTACTACGATGATGTGAACTCTGGGACCTCTCTCAACCAAGTACGAGCTCCTTCGGAATTGTCGAGAGACATCGAAAAGAAATACATCTTCCACCGAAGCAGCGGCTTCTTCCACTGAGGATCTCGGCATTGGTTTGTTAATTCTGTGTGGGCATGCAAACTTATGGCCAGTGAGCACTGTGCCTGAGCAGCACGTGTCGGGGCAGAGCATGACGAACACAGAGATTGATGCAGGATATTCTGGCTGGTCTGCTATTGCCCGATAACAATGATTGTCGACTTCCTTCGATAATCTGCCACAGCATGCAGGCTGAAAAGTCTGAGATGCCGTTCCCAGTGTTATCGATGGCGTTGAAGATTCCTTCAAGCTTTGCGGCAAAGTCGGCCTTCAGCTTCATCCTTCGCATCGACGGCAACCCCAGGCAATCCAAGGAAACGGGGTGGGAGACCTCCCTACCTAATCCGAATGTATTTTTATATCCTCCATGCATAGAAGCATCATAGATGCAAACGTTCAATGCTTTTTTTGGCATGTATGCTCTTTTAACATTGTTACATATGCAATGTTTGAGCCGTCGTACACGCTTATGACGCGTACTTTCTTAAGCTTTTAACCAAACCAACACATTGACGTGCCTACAGGAGCCGTACCCGCAAGGCAAAGCTACTGAAACCACATAAGCACACACATGTGGATATGTATATATGTACGCACCCTTCTGCATTGATGTCTATACCAACCACGTCGTTGCCGGAACTTTCTGGGTTGAGGCATGGGCCTCGACGGAAGCTGCTGTACACAGCATCATATATATCTTGCACTGAACTTTGCATGGCTGCATCGCAGGCTTGCTATCAGCCAGGCAGCCTCCTGCTTGATAGATAGACTCATTGTATGTCCAGTGCAGACAATGGTCCCGCGATGTGGAAGCAGAATATTATCGCTCATGGAACATATGCCAATTATCGAAAGTCCGGTGTCGCAAGCTCGCTAACAGCAGTTGTCAGTCACCGGTTCCAACCTCTGATGAAGCAAAATCTTCGCATACCAACCAACCCAAGTCTGAAGCCTCAAGCAGCTGCCGCTTCGACCCCTGTATCCTGCAATACACCGGAGAAAACATCCCAAGCAAACTCCTCGCCACAACGGCCATTCAGTAACCAAAGCAAAAGTGTCCTCTCAACGACCATCTGCTCCGCATCACTCTGCGCAGCATCCAACCTAATCTGGGAGCAGGGGCCCCAACCACCCTGAGTTCTTACCAAGTCTTAACTTTCCGCTGAGGGGCAGTGTTCTGGGCTCTAGCGCTAATGGAACGTGGATTCTGGACAAAAGGGTTGGGTTGAAGGAATTGACCGTGATTCCCAAGTCCGACGTCCATGCCCACATCCGAAACTCTGCATCCTATCACCCGGACACCCTACATCTCTAATCCTAAGCCCTCAAACTTTCAGAGCCCAACCCCAGATCCTGAAAATTTGCACCCCAACCAGAAGTCGATCGAGCTGTGTGTGTATATGCATACTTCGCGGTAGTGGGCAAAAATGCGCAGGATTGTGCCAGAAGGGCTTGGACTCTCGCAGCTCGGAACACGGCTCAGGGTTTTGCGCTTCAGGGATGGAACTTGATAGAAACCTGAATTTGGACGTCCAAACCTGATACTCTCAAGCCAGCCTTGTTATCCTGCACCGACAGCCTGGTTGAATCAATAGAAAGCTGCACGGGCAAGCAGCTTGTTACAACATATTCCCACATTGAACCTCTGGTTCACCTTGAATGTTGTTTTCTCAGCCGCAGCTAGTGAACTCCACAACTATGAACACTATCATGTGCCGGGTAAGGGTAGCTTCGTTCAACTCGAGAGAGGTGGCAGTTCCCAGCGTGACGTTTGTTTAGGGGATGCTCCATAACCTCACCGAGTTGCGTATCTTTGAGGAACACAGCACTTATAACTCGGAGGACGGCAAAGACCACAACGGTGACGTAGAAGACCTGAGCATGGAGCCCGCACAAGCACTCTACCTTTGGCTGTGACCTTGAAACACTTCCGGGTCTGCATATTTACCCCTTTTGCAGATTGAAGCTGCGCTCGCGGACTACAAAAACTCGGGATTCGCCTTCTGCACGAACCCGAACCAAGTACTGCCAAACCCTGAGAGGAAGCATTATGAAGCATACCAGGCAACATTGGCAAATGCTAACCCGAAACCCAAGAGGACACTTGGGGATTTGGGACATCGCAATATTTGCTGTCATCAAAAGGACATGCTGCGTGTGAATTGCATGCTGCGATTTATCTTGGCAAATCATGCGCCTTCCCAAGCTAAGGCTATGTCGCACATCGAGCAAAGCAAACTACACAGACCTGTAGCTTGCGATTATCCAAGCCACGAAGAAGACCACGAAAGCATAGCTCACGTTTTCCAAGACCGGGCGCGCGTTAGACCTTTGTTTGGCACTGGAGTCCGGCTGCAGGAATTGCCACGGTGTTGCACCCCCTAGTAGAGAGTACACCCTTGTAGCTGCATCCTGCAGTCTCAAACCACTCGCGGTCCCCATGCGGGAATTGCGTGCTGCCAGGATGCGGCCAATTTCCTGCAAATTGCAGCCGAGGATTCAGCTGGGGACTGTCTTTGCAACTTCCAGCTGTTCTTGTCTCTTATCTGGGCTTCCACAATCCGTGGGCAATCTTGCTACCGCTACTCCCCGGCCCGAAATCCTGAAAGGGAGGTCTCTTCCAAAGGATCAAGTTCCACACCCTTCATCCTAAACAGTCTCTCCTAAAACATTACGTTTGGATTTGGGGCTTCTTCCTGTTCAGAGGTTCAGGGTTCAGGAAGCTTGGGTCTTTGGTGCTGGGTCTTCCGAGCGTAGACGCTGCAGGCAGGGTTCTCGTGTATAAGATTCACGGGAGTAAGGGTTTCTGGTCTAGAGCTTTATAAGGGTCTTAGAGGGCTGTGCTAGGTTAGGCACTAAACCGGTCGACCCGAAGCTGCAGACAGTAGCTTCCCTTTCGGGCCACGCTCCGTGATCGTGACGCCGCCGCATTCGATGGTTTCAATTGAAACTCTTTGGGTATGATAGTGTTTATGGCGAGTTCAGAGATGTAAAGCTTACACTTCCATCTTTCACTTCATGTTGTCGGCGCTGCTGTTATGCGAATCCAGAACTGGAGCACTCTGAACCTCATGACAACTGGTTCTATTTTGCTCATTTGCTTCATTTTGCCGCCACAGGGTCTGCAAACGAGGACTTCAGGTGTCCACAAATGACGGGTGAATAGCCAGGGAGCCCTGGATCGTGAACCTGTTGCGTGAAGAAGACTCATCCATGCCAAACGTTCTCCCGAATAGCCAAGACCGCTCAAAGTTGACCCAGAAGAAGCTCGCTGTATGTCCTGCGAAAGTTATTTCGAACAGCGTATAGGTGGCGCGTGATGCCTCGGTCTTGCGACACCGGCAGGGATGCCGGGTGTGCAGCAGAGTGTCGAGCTTCTTTTGGCTTTTCACCAAAGACAGACTGAGGTCGTGAAAAGTAGAGAATGGCCTTGATACACTCTGTGGACATGGGCATGGTGGAATCCACCTTCTTTCGTGATGAAGACACAGGGTGCCGTCTGGAGTTAGTCAGGCAAAAGCATGACTTTCGCAAAGACAACGGCTCACTGAGTGTGGCTACGGTCAAATCCGGTTGAGATATCGGCTAGCTGTAAGGATGGCATGCGTCCACAAAAATTTTGAGCTCGAAGCCCTCTATCTTCAAATCGAAAAATCTCTGAGCCCTGAAATCCCGAAGCCCGAAATTCCAAGTGCTAAGGCTAAAACACAATGTTTCCCAGAAGCTCATAGGCTTTGCTTACGGATTAAACATCTAAACAAAGGCTCATCGGAAGCATCAGTAGGAGTTTGCTAGTGTGAAGGGGTGCTTCAGAAAGCCAGCAGTCTCGCTCTAATCAAGTGATTTGGAGGTCGAATTTGCGGGCCCTCATAGTTAGTGTAGGGTGTTGAGGGTACACTCTCCTGTGATCATATTAGGAATGTTGTCATGTCCGGGCCGTTGCTATGGCATATTTCTTATAGAGTTACCTTTGAGATAATGCTTCTGAACATGAAGGGTGTCTATATTCTTAGCACCAAGGGGCTGTTCCGTATCGCCTCCAAAGCCATTGCCTATCTTCCAGGCTTAACCTGACGTCCTCGTCGTCCTCAGAGGGGCGGCTTCTTTCTTTATGGGGAAAACATGCGTGGAGAGTTTTAAGTATTGAGGCAGTAGAGTTGCTTGAATTGTTTGTGGGCAACTCGAAGCAGACTTACCCTGCGAAAATCGTTCCATGTTTTATCTTGCTACGATGGCGTAGGGAAATCGTGTTGCTTTGTCTGTAAGGTTCAGCCTTTAATGCCAATTATGAATCTAAAGTTACGCAGTGTCGCTTTGTAAGATGTGAGCGAAATCCCATTGACTGTCGGCAGCTGCAACGCTGCAATATCCCACTTTCGAATCTGTTGTCGTATCCACGATACTTGCGCAGATTTCTTGGCTTGCTCGTTCGTCCGATTCGACTTATGTTCACCGCCTGTGCGCTGTTGCAGCAGTGGGCACGCAAGCGAGAACTGACATGGCCGTTCCTAGAATGCTACATTGCTGCTACACGTGTTCCAGCCAATCAATGTCTTCATCCGAACCTGCAACATCTGTTTGGCCAGTTCCTTGAAGCACACAAGCTCGACACCGCAAACAAGCTCACCGAGCTTTCGCTTCGCGCTGATGTCGGGGCAGTGCAAGCCGTCTTGCGCATCCTTGATTCTACAAACCTAACAAGTGCAGCCAAGGTAGTGCCAAGAACCTCATGGGACAGGCAGGCACAACGCAACAGATAAGCTTGCTAGAATTCAGCATGCGGAATGCACGTCGCCCGCGGCCGTGCGCATCAAGGCTTTTCAAGTGCCTGTGCCCCGCCGCTGTAGCTCTTGTGAACCCTGTCATGCTAAATGTCCTGTTTGGCGAACCTTCAACACGACATGCATTTCCATGCGAGATGAAACAAGGTGAAAGCTCGCACTGGAACCAGAGACGAACAGAACGGCACTGAGCCAACCCCATTTGACACCTGAGCAGCGCGAGGCTCGAAGCTGAGAGAAGCCCATCCAAAACCCAACCGGAATGCAGGGACGAGGCTCCAGGATGAAGCCCTGCAGCAGGTTTCCCAAAAGCAGGGCACCTGATGCTTCGACTGGATTGAAATTGAGGTCTCTTTAGTTCTCTACCGGAGACTGAGCTGGCTCTGAGGCACCCATTGTCATCAGCACGACCAGAAGCACCATGGACCAGCACAGCGACGGCAAAAAGCATTGACCTCATGAGCTCTGCGATGAGGATGCCGAGAGAGCTAGCAGAACACAAGGCCGCCCAGGACTGTCGGAACATCAAGGATGCCTCAATCCAAAGTTGTAGTTGGCCATGCAGGATCTTAAGCAACTCCCAGACCACCGGGAGGATCCAAAAAGTAGATCCCTTAAGGGGTTCCTATGAAGTACCCTTCAGTAGTATAGGGTCCAAACTTCTAGATCCTTCCGGGGGTCTGGGCTTGCAGCCAAGGCCACAAGCTCTCACAAGCGAGCGGAGGCCGCCAAAGAATCGAAGGCTTCTCACCTAAAGAGAGCACTACGTGGGGCCTCTTCTTCTCACCAAGGGCCCCATCCCTCACTCCCCAACCTGTGCCTGGCATCTGCCTAGAATCCCGCAGGCATACCCAAAGAAGGATACCCAAACGTGGAGCCTATCCGGACTTAGGCTTCGGAGTCGCATCAGGAAGATGTAGGGTCTGGGCTTTGGGGTGCATGAAGGGGTGACATCTGTAAGGTTTGGGGGGTTTGGGTTTAGAGTCCAGGGTCCCGGGTTTCAGAATTCCTGAAGTCTTGGGTCTGGCTGGGGCTGCGGGGTTGGGCCTCCGGTGAAGACGTCTCCCACTGACAGGATCAGGAGTTCCGGTCGAGCGACGATCTTTGTGCAGGCATGGCTGCTCCGGAGGTGGATGCTTGAAACAGATGAAACAAGGCTGTCCCTTGGCATGCTCCTAAACTCTTGTCAAAGTCCTAAAGGTCCTAAATGCTTGAACAGGGCCTTGCAAGTCTCAGAGCTGGCCAAGCCACCATGCGAACTGCGCGCATGGACTTCAGCACCCGCATGAGACGAAGCAGCAGGACACTCCGAGAACCTGGCGGTCTCATTCAAGGTACCCCAAGTTATCTTGAAGCATCGTCTCGGATTTGCACGCATGGTCTTTCAGGACTAGGAGACACTCGTCGGCACTTTAACTTTCAGGTGCTTTGGACGAATGAGAAAAAGGCCTCGAAGTTGACTCCTCTAGGTTGGGGTGCTCTAAAACTTCTGAAACCTGTGTAGGACATGCTTTTTTTGAGGGGTTTTCTCTGTTCAAGCTCAGGCAATGGTGTCTTGCTGTTGCACTGACATGATGAGGCCAGAAGATCGGCCTTCGGTCATCGAGATGCTGATGACGATCTCAGACATTCCCGCCAGAACTAACCTCGGTTCAAGAGGCGTTTGGGGATCGGAATCCTTCATCTGAAGACCGGCGTCCGAATTCCAAAGCGGATCCCACGGAGACAGAATTCCACGAGGCTCCCCCACATGTTTCTGAGACATTAGTGCTTTTTCTGCTCCTCTCGTACCTGAGATGTTGGTTTCCGGTGGCCTTGGGAAGAAGCCACGCCTTGGCCTTGGCCTTCAAATTCTCCCCGACATCTCGACTCGAAAAAAAGCATGAGTAGCTTCACATGTGGGGGCTGTATGGAACCTTCTGACCATGTTTCCGGATCTCGTACTAGATGCTATAAAATCTAGCGCACGAAGCCTGATAGCTGTTGAACCATCCAAAAAATAGACAGGCTTCACTTGGCTCTACGGTTTCATTAAGTTCCGAAGAAGCCTTTAATTGCTGAGGCGGCGTTGATGCAGAAGCTTCGTTGTCAGAT